CAATAATTTAGTTTTCCTCATTTTTCTCGAAAACTAAAACAGCTAGACTTTTTTCACTAGTAACAAAATTTGTAGCCCTAGTCTTGCTCTAAATGCTTGGCAAATTTCAAATCGACTGGGCGTTCTGAAAGAAAGTTATAAGAATTTAATCGAGAAGACCCAACTTTTTCGATGGACAAAAGTATTGCGACAAATTTATTTTTTAACAAAAAACCAACAGATCAATATTTGGTTGCGCCCCCATTCGCAATTCTAATCTGATTAAGTCTTCTGGGAAGGGAATAAACCAAATTCATCAGCGTGACTGCCGGGATCGCCTTCCAAAACCGTTGCACTTCGGCCCAGAGACGGTCCCGATCTTTGAACTTTCTTCCCTTCAGTTGTCGCTTCACATGCGCCCATAAATGTTCAACCGGTGAAATATCCGGCGGTTAAAGGGGTGTTCGCATCAGTTTAACTCCATTGAGCGAGAACCAGCCGGGAAGGCAAACTTTCCGCCCATCGGGAAGTCGACGAGTCGGTCCCATCATCAATTTCGAAGTGTGTTTTGGGTCTCCGTCTTGTTGAAATAGCCATCCTCCTGGCATATTTGTTGTCGCAAATGGTAGCATGTGCTGTTAGAGGATGTTCCTATACTGGAGAGCATCCAGGTTGTTCTGGATTCGGACTAATGGACCAACGAAATCACGAGACATCGATCCTGAAAAAGAAGCGAACTGTTAGAATCAAGAAATTAAATTCCTAACCCCAAACCATTAGGTTTCCACCGTTGAATTTCACTGTTGGACGAATGAACTGGTCTCTATATCGTTGATTCTTTGGTCTTCGGATCCAAGTACCACCATCTGAGTTGAAAAGGTTGATCTTTGTCTCATCACTCCACAGCACTTTGGCCCAATCGTCACTTTTCCAGTGTTTGCACTTCTGAGAAAAAGTCAGGCGTAGCTTTCGGTGACGGGCGACCAGCAATGGCTTCTTGGCAGGCCTTCTGGCAAATAATCCGGCACTTTTCAAACGTCGACCAACCGTTTTCGGGCTGATATTGAGTCCAAGTGCTGTATTGGCATAGTGGACGACATCGGAAGCTGATTGGTTTGGCTCCTCCCGACGGTACTTGGCCATTAATCTATCTTCTCGTGGTGTGCTTTTTGGTTGACGGCCACTTTTTCCAGCCCTCGAAATATTTCCTTGTGTCTTTTCTCTTTCAAAAATTCGATAAACAGTGGCTCGATTGACTTTGACTTCGGCGGCAATCTCGACCACTTTTCGTCCCTTCTCTCTCTCTTCCACGATGCGTTTTTTTATCGGGGTATTTCAGTATGGCATCTAAAATAGAAAAATAGCAAAAATTAATTTTGACAAAAAAGGAAAAGAAAGTTAACGTGGAAAAATAAGTTTGCCGCAATACTTTTGTCCATCGAAAAAGTTGGGTCTTCTCGATTAAATACTTATAACTTTTTTTGAGAACGCCCAGTCGATTTGAAATTTGCCAAGCATTTAGAGCAAGACTAGGGCTACAAATTTCGTTAATAGTGAAAAAAGTCTAGCTGTTTTAGTTTTCGAGAAAAATGAGAGAAACTAAATTATTGGGTTTTGTCGCAATACTTTTGTCCATGACTGTATATAATGTAATTCTGACTCTCCGTTGTTTTTATGTGTTGAAAATAAATGAAATTCAAAATCTCTCGTTTTTTATGGGACAACCTAATAAGTGCTCTTTGACAAAACACCCACAGACGCAGAAGCAACTTGTCAAGCACAAGGAGTTCATCAATCCATAGCGACCAGGAAGATGATTTTGTTACAGGTAAAATACTTCTTGTATCTCGAAGTAGAACTAGAAGTTTTAGGCGTATGTTGCTCGCTCGCAGACTTTTTGACTTTTTGATTTTTTTTTAAACTCTTGCCTTTAAGTGTTGACTTGAGTGCAAAAGAATAACCGTCATTGGTTGCTAGGAAAAAAATTCAAGAAAAATATCCTGCTTGTTTCTCAAATTCAAATTATAGGTTACGGTTCAAAAAGAAGTCGTTTTATCAACACTTTCCCAGTACGACTATAATTGCCGTCAAAGATCTCTTTTGTAAATTCCATTTTTAAATACGATACATTAGATTTATTTTTCCTGAATTATTGCTAGGTTTGTTGTTTTTATAACTCCATAGAGCCATGATAAATTCAGTGGTCCCAGGTGAACCGATCGGATTTGATCGGACAAGTTATGACACCTAAAACAGGTCATCTCGAGCCGACTATCGCGCCGCAACAACGCTCACAAATTCTTTCAAGATTTGAGAACTACAAGGAAAATTTAATCATCGTCATTTCATTTTTGACTATAAACGGTATGGTATACGTTTTGACTTGGCTAGGGCCAGAAATTCGGCTTTTTTGCCAATTCTGCTTGTGACTCTTACATGTGAAAAAGTAAGAACACCTACTAAGAAAGCAAGAACACCTACTAAGAAAAAGCGGAGGTAATCAAAACAGCGCGATCAGAACAGCGTCGCTCAAAACAGTGCGGCTCAAAACTACGCCGGTCAAAACAGCGCAACTATCAAAACAGCGCAATAGCAAAAATAGCGCAATAGTAAAACAGAGCTCTTTTTGCTTTGCTAAAACAGAATAAATCTTGCTCTTTTTTTCTGCGCGTATAAAATGCTGCAAATGCTTAAAACACAAATTACTTGGCTGTTAAATAAATAGCAAAAGCGTTTAAAAACAAAGTACAGTCAACTCCCTCTATAGTGCAACTCAAGGGACCGGGAAAATTTTGCACTATAGAGGGAGTTGTCTTATACGGAAGCTCTTTTGCACAATATCCATGTATTCTTCTAAATGAGATCGAATAACGTCCTTTAAATCTTGTAAGCCATCCTGAACGTGCTTTGAAATTTGTCAATCTCATCTCTTGCGCAAGGCTTTTAGCTTTCTGTATCAAAATCGGGCCGTCGATTGGCATATTTCGAAAATTAATTAAATTAGACAATCAAATTTAGAATCAAACAGCATGTAAATTTGTAAATCGCATTTAAATTACCGTATTTCCTGTAATTGAACCCCATGGCATAGGAGCGTCGCGTACTTTTGCCTGTAGCTGGCGTAATTTTGAGTTTTTCATTTTGCGCTTCAATATTATGTCGTTTCTCTTTGAGAGCTTCAAAATGAATGGTCTGCCATTTTTTTAGCTCGACTGGGTGTCGAGAAACACCATTTTGGTCACTTAGAGCCTGAATAAAAGTTAGACTACGAGAAGCTCCTATGCCATGGGGTTCAATTACAGGAAATACGGTATTCGAAATTGCACTATAGGGAGAGTACATCTGCAGTTGGGATCAAAATTTCTGTGCACTATACAGTGCGTTCCAAAAGTTTAGACGGTAGCGCAAAATGGGCGTTTCCGTAAAAAATGCAACTAAATTTTTTGTTATTTTTATCTACATTAATGTAAAATATCGAAAAACTTTTAAGAAAAAACTTTTAGCTCACTGGCTTTGATGAAAATAAAAAAGTATCGACTTTATCGAAAACCGGGTGTTCCAAAAGTTTAGACGGTTTGGAATTTTATCTTTAAAAATTAATTTTTTTCAATATTTTTGGTTCTTTTTCTATACTGAACTGAACTGAAAAACTGCAAGAACACTAGCAAAAACATTAAAAACAAGCAGGTGGGGGTAGATATAAAAAAACTAAAAAACTCCACATTTTCATCCAAAAACGACTTGTTTGGACAAAGTAAATTGTTTTTTTTTCTGTCTTCTGGACACTCATAGCCGCGCACTAGGTGGATTGAATGAAAAAAGTGTAAAAACATAAGCAAAACCATAAAAGTCAAACAAAGGTCGAAATCTGGAAAAAAAATGAATCTCGCGCTATTTTTGCCATTGCGCTGTTTTAAGCCGCGCTTTTTTGAGCGGCGCTGTTCTGGTCGCGCTGTTTTGACTACCTCCCAGAAAAACGCTTGCAAATGATGCATGAAAAGCTTAAATTTGCATTTCAAAAGATTTGCAATAGCCTTTTTTGGGTGCATGCCTTAGAGTGCGCATTAATCACAAAAAATACACTCTTAAGTCATCGTAAAAGTTACATCTTAACGAATACAACAAAACTGGGAGGTATTTGTGGATTTCTAGGTTTACAAGGGTCGTCTTACAAGGGAAGATCAACTGGATAGGCTGGCCAAATGACATGAGCCATAGAACTATAGGACAAAATGGTCAACAAAATTGGACCAACCAGTCTGGACTAGTCTGGAGAAAATCAAGACAACAAATATGAATTGTCTGTATTTTGTAGAAAAATACGGGCAAATTTAAGGCAAAAATTGATCACAGAAATTTGAGCATGGCAAGCTCAGTCACAAAGAACACCTCGTCATCATTTACACAGGGATATCATCATGGATTTCTCTATAGAAAAAGACAAAATTGTGGATTTACACTCTATAAGTTCTAGTTATTCGATGAATCTGAAATTTATTCAACATAAAAACATCAATTCATTCCAAATATTCATTCCAATGGATTCACGCTGAATCCGAATCTGCTTTCCGTTTTTGCTGAACGGCACTCTGTCAAATGTTATAGGCCGGCAAAGTTTTTAGGGAACTTCAAAAATCAAACAGAGACCTTAAAGCCGGACTTTTCAGAAAGGGAAGAAGTGCAGGAGTGAGCGATTGATACTCGGCTCGGACACAGGGCGGGCCTACCGGGTTCGACTCCGTGAGATGCTTCTTTCTTTTGCATTTTTTGGGTTTAAATAGTTTGAAATTCCAAACTTTGCCGACCTATAACTTTTGATAGAGTGCCGTTTGGCAAAAACGGAAAGCAGATTCGGATTCAGCGTGAAATTTTATTCTATAGGTCTATGGTTCATGTCATTTGGCAAGCCTATTCAGTTGACCTTCCCTTGTTAGTTGTTGCATTATTGTGCACATTTAGTTTTTTTATTGTGCATCTACTTTTTTTTGCCAAGCATCGATACAATCTCAGTCGTTTTTATCATGGCAAATCGTTTTATTGATCTTCGCCACGCAGTGCAAGTCGTCCACTTTTTGGTGAGTGAGGCAGAGATTCCGTGTGTTCTGTTTTGCTCATTCCGTGTGTTCAGTTTTGCATTCTATCAGTTGGCGCCAATTTCACGAGTATCTATCTTTGTTGCCGAGAAGCAAAGTCTTTCTCGAGAGCCGTTTTACTGCTCTTGATCGCAGACTCGCTAGCCCGTGGCTGTTATTCATTCGCCTCAACTTTTTGGTATTACGTGCAATTGTCTCAATTGTAAGTTTAGAATCAATATTTTTTGCATTGATAATGTTTTACAGCATTTCCTTTCTATATTTTGGTGATCTGATGTGGCGGATTACCCTCTATCTGGGTATTGTATCTGGCAACCTTTTGCATATTTCGGGTTTTCTACAAATTGGTAAGCAAGAATAGTAGCAAGCTTCATAAGCCTTCAAAAAGCTAAAAGCCATGCTAGCCAAATCTAAGGCAAGGCTAGCTAAGCCAAGGCCAAAGCTAACAAAGGAATGGTCCGAACTTAGCCGACGATTTCGCTACACCGCTGACATGCAAACGCCTATCGAGCATGGGGAACACGGTGCTCTATTTATTTTTTGCCCATTCTCAATGGGTCACGAGAAAAACGCTTGCGAAGTTTGAGCGTGGGGATATATAGGCTCTTTCCCTCTCCTTTCGAAGTGGCCGGATGGTGTAGAGGTAAGTGTGCGGGGTCTAATTTTCTAATTTTTGCTTTTTCGATCCTGGTTCGGATCCAGTTGCGATTTTTTTTTGTTTTCTCTTGCAAAAAATATTTTTTATTTATTTTAGAATATTCAATTAAAAGTTTGAAAAACAAATGATATATAAAAGCTCCGAAAATGAACAAAAAGTGCTGACTTTTGTTATTGTTATAAGTCATTTAACGGGTCAGAGCTGGGTCAGCACTTTTTGTTCATTTTCGGAGCTTTTGAGTGTCATTTGTTTTTGTAGGCGTAGCGGAATCGTCCGGTAAGTTCGGACCATTCTCTTGTAAGACCAAGGCCAAGCCAGAGTCAGGGTTGCGTCAAGGTCAAGGCCAGGTCAAGGACAAATCAAGCCAAAGCCAAGGCTAATGGTAAGCCAAGGCTAATGGTAAGCCAAGGCAAGCCATGACTTTACTTGACTTAGGCTTGGCTTGTCTATTGGAAATGACAATCACCTCTTTAGCTTTGTCGCTGAATCGCTTTTTCGCTATATCTTTCAATGGTTGCTATTATCTCCGCGCACAGAAATATCCTTGGCTGCAAATCCTAATTTCTATTTTGCTAGGAATTGGACTGAAATCCCTGCCAGTTCGAACTGGTAAGCGTTTTCTACCAGTGACACGCTTTTTTTTTCTCTAGCCAGTGTGAGCAATTATTATTTCATCATCATGGCTCCAACGATTTCATTTGATTTCATGTTAATCTACAAAATGATCGTAAGCTGAATAAAATCTAGCTTTTTTCAACTTGTATTCAGAAAACAAAAATTATTGTGACTCATGCTAGCGAACGATATCTCTTGGCACAGGTTATCTAAATCTTTTTTTCATATTCAACCGCTTTCAGATAATGATCAACAATTTTCCGGCCACTTTTGTGTACCTTCTCTGCCCGTTCATTTATTTGTGCACTATGAACTGGCTACCCATTATCACTGTCTCTTTCTGGCACATCGGGATTCTACTTTTCTTCACCGCTGGGCAATTCTTTCAAGGGTGAGAGGTTCATAAGTTGTTCTTCATAGATGAATCACCCAGTTCCGAGGAAGCTTCGGGCAAATAGAGACACATGAGATCGCTTACTTTGTAGGTTGACGCTTACTTACTCATAAGGGTTGACAATCATAGAGAATTCTGTCCCCACGAGACTCAAAAGAAATTCTTCCAAAAACCCTAAACACTCAGCAATTCCTAGTCATTTCTGTTCTTTTATCTTGTTACATTAAACAAGAAAACTTCATCTACTCTCCAAAAGATAAAATCATACATGCATCAAAATGATTTAAAGTGTCAAGTCATTCAACTCGCAGAAACCCTAAATATTGGGTCTTTGCATTGAAAATGGGACACTATGTGTGAAACTTTTATAAAACAGCAACTTTTCTCAAAGAAACCATCTTGGTGTCAATGGAAAAGTTATAGAGAATCAAAAAATTAATCTTATATCCAAACTTTCAGAATGGTTCAAAAACTGGTTTTCAAGAAATGCCAAATTTACGAATTTTCAGAAAACTGGCCTTTTGAGTGAAACTACTGAGTGTATCTTTCTGAAAATTTGGCTGTAAGCCTAATTTTTGATTCTCTACAACTTTTCCATAGACACCGAAATGGGTTTCTTTTGAAGAAAGTGCTCAATCTGTGACATCTCCAGTCCTCCATTTTTTCCAAGTCTCACACTTGTCTCTCACAAAAACTAAAACTCTACGACGAAAGAGAAATCCGTAAATTGACTGTAAAATGGGTAGAAGTTGTTAAAAATAATGGAAATTATTTGGAATAATTTTATGGTTTCGTCTTGAATAAATGTAGCTTTGAAAAGTGTCCCATTTTCACCTGCAAGGACCCAATAGGTTCCTTTCCCAAAATTGTACCACTAAATCCACTGAATGACTTCATCTCAATTCTCCAATTTCTAAGAAAGACAATTCTTTCTGGTAAATCATATTTTTTTCAGAGTGGTCACAATATATTTGGTCATAAAGAGCAGAAGTGAGATTTCGGATTGTGCATCGTGATCAGAGAAAATTGAAGACAACTAGGATTTAATGGCTTTCGTTCGCAGTGAAGGATCAATAAAATTTTCAAAATAAATGTTAGCAAACGAAATCCAAAACATCTAATAGCTCAAAATTGGCCAGATTCATATTACCTTGTTATTTGAACATAATCTCTTCTCTCTCCTTTTTTTCAAGAAGTGTGTCTCGTACGCGATTTCTCTGCATTAAGATAGAATATAAGGTCTTCATTTAGACATCATTGAACATTTCAAAATAATCACAGAACATCACAATCTTCACAAAAAGTCATTTATGCTCCGAGCACCCCACAACGACCATCACCCGACCTCCCTCAGCTCTCTTAACAACTCTCAGTCAAACACATCGTGTTGTGCTGGACAATGAGATCTATCCGATTGGATCAACTCGGTGAGATTTTATCTATTTATTATCAATCTAATAAGATACATTCGAGGACAAAATGTGGCTTCAATTACAGATTGCCTTTTCTGATTCTCCCACAATTTAACATCGAGATTAAGTAGTTCATTCGCTTCAAAATGTTTGCCTTTTGAAGTAAAGAAAATGTGGACCGGGCCCAAACAGCGCCGTTCAAAACAGCGCCAAATTCAAAGCTTCTAACGTAGATTAACCAACGCTCTTTTGGAGTTTTCGATAAAAGCTTTATTTTTTCGTGCATTCCCAAGTAAAATAGTAGATGAAATCTTGTTTATTCCATTCACGAAATGAAAAAATGAAACAACGGAGTTAACATATATGAATGTAACAACATTTTAAATGAGCGATTGGCTCTTCCCCAAGGATCCATTTTTAACCGCAAATTTTCTTACACGCCGGCCGTGAAGGACTTTCGAGGATTCAGGTAAGTCAGATGCGGAGATTTGGTCGTCGGTTTCGACTCTTTTCCCTTTGAACTGATCCAAGATAATCTTTCGTTAATGAAAGAGAATGTTGGGCTCAGACTATGGCACGATAATTGGGAGAGTTTCGTGGATTGTGTGAAATTCTTCGTTAGAAGCAATCGTTTCAATGCTTATCTTCACATTAAACTCAATGAGGGTCAAGGGACGAGGGGGGATTCGAGATTTGAGCAACTCACCTCTATCTTGCTTCAGGCTCACATTCCGCTGGTTAGGAAGGAAGTATTTGGGGCGGGGGATCACGAAAGACTCGTCTTTCATCGGCCTCCACAGGCTTTTCAGTATCGAATTACCTTCAGCCATGCGTGTCGCCTAGAAAAACTTTTTTATTGATCATCAAATTGTTGATCGTTGATCATATAATTTCATGAAGTGTGTCTCATTTTCTCAAGTTTCTCATTTCATCGTTTTCTGATTACTATTTGACATCTAGATCCTTAAGGTTTATTCGCTGAACAAAAATGTGATTCTTAGCGCGAATATGTGACGAATAAATATTGTGCAATACAACGAAATGTTACACTACTGGTATAACACATCAAACTTTCTTGAAAAAGTGTGAACTAGAGTCAAATCTTACACTATCGGTCTGAGAAGAAAAACCCTCCAAAAACAAATGATTTTAGACTGAAAAAAGCCAAGATCCGACTTGCAACTTTCAGATTCGAAGCCTGATTCAGGCTTCGACCGTTCGCTTCATTTCCTTACTCCCAATTGATTTTTTTTGTCACAAATTTTGGCTGAATTCTGGAAATGACAATGGTTTCTTTAGATCTCTACGCCGGAAAAGTGATGGGTCAAATATTGGTATACTTAGCTCATACATCTTCTAGTCTGGCTAAAACCGTTCATTCACTGACTGGGTTACTGCAGCCACGTGACTGTTTAAAGGAACAACTACTGTGTTTCTTTCCTTCTCAATATCCCGTATTACCGTAGTCCTAAAATTCGGTACAGCTTATGGCCTGCAGAAATTTATGGCCGTGGACTCTTACCTTTAGGAAGGGATCGAGAAGGAAAAATTCCTTTTTTATTTTAGACAAACTTTGGTACTCCATTGATGAGAAATCCGGGGACATCACACGCTTCACAAGTCGTCGGTGAAGTCAGTGAATGAACAGTTGTAGCCAGCCTAAAAGACGTATGATCCAAGTATACCTATAATTGATCCATAACTCTTTCTGAGTTAAAGAGCTAAAAAAATCATTGTAATTTCCAGAATCTAGCCAAAATTTATGAGAAAAAAATCAGTTGGAAGTAGAGGAATCAAGCGAACGTTTGATTCAGGATTCGAATCTGAAAGTTGCAATTTGATCTTGGCTTGCTTCGAATCCGACTTCCCTTAGTTTCATTTAATTTCTTTTCTCAAACTTTTCGAGATCGAAGTCGAAAAGCAACTTTTTATGGAAAAAAAAGAAAGTTTTTCCCCTCAATTTTTTGCATACTTTTTCCCATAGAGTCATTTGGCGAAGCCTCAATGACGATTTGTGAGGCGTGTGATGTCGAGTTTTTTCCTCACGTGGATCCGTGGATTTACAAGCATTTGTTCATGTGGGCAGTGATCGATTATTTTGAAATCGAAGCTCAATGTAACTAGTTTGTAACTTTGTAAAAAAAATCTAACCAGTTTTTATCGTTTTACCCCTTTCTTTAGAAATCTTCATACTTTGCATTCTTTAAATCGTTAAAGACATCCAAATGCCTTTTTTTGATTTATTTAATTCTAAAATTTCTTCTGAGTCAAAAAGAAATGAAACTTTGAAAAATAGCAAATTTTTCTGTGATTATCAAATAAGAAAGAATGAGCAACAAACAAATTCCTGATTGAAACTCTATAAAGAAAAATAATTGGAGAGAAAAATCTTTACAAGTAACAAAATGATACAAGTTTAGGCAAAATTTTAGGAAGCCACACAAAAATGCAAATTTTCTTTCATTCACGAAAAATATTCTTCGATTTTAAAGTCAAAAGGCAGAAAGTAAAAACGGAAACGCTCACAGGGCGCCCAGCAATTCTCGATTGATTAAATTGCAGAAATTCACGATTAACGTCACCAGAAACGGCACGATCGCCAAGTGGAAAAAAGATTTTCACGCTTTTGCACACTTGGATCGGATTATAAATTGAGAGAAGCGAGCGAGTGACGCTTGAATCTCTATTGAATTCGAAGTGTACGTGTTCCAAAGCCTTATTAAGTGGCAAAACTTTTCTTTTTTGCAAAAGAGTTTTTTGATCCTTTCTCTTCTCCCATGTTTTGACACGCGTTTTCCTTGGCTTTTCCACTTTATTGACATTTTCACCGATACAATCAAATGGGTCACTTTCGCGACAGGTTAATGGCGTTTTTTACAAGTTTTTCCTAGTGACAAGTTCAACGAGGTTTATGATCAGGTAATTGGGTCAAGTACAATAATTTATTACAGTTTTGGAGCTAGCACATTTCTGACTCTAACTCTGATTCTAAAACCTGCTCAACTATCGTAGCCCGACAGAGATCCGCCCTGAACCTCTCCTAGTAACCGCCTGAAATCCGTGGCTGATAGTCTCGAATTATTTCACGACCCAATCTTTCTAGTGTTACAAAACTTGTAGAACTTGTACTTCTTGCTCAAACTTGTAAATGCACTCCTTTCTAGTGCACCGAATTCCTCCATTTTTCATGGAACTCAGAATTAACGCTACGAAAGCAATATTGCAACACAGAATGAAAGAAAGGAAAAACGAAAGAAATCGAGGATTCTTCCACGTCTATGCCTTCCGACCTCACTTTTGTCAATCCTTTTCCACCGTGAAATCACATATTGGCGTTATTGTTCTTTTTTGAAGGCCAAAGCAACTTTTCCGTGTTCACTTCGAGAATTGACGTATACCTGGCACATACAACGCGGCGCGAAGGTAATTGGAGTCACATTTTGCCTTCGGTTTGAAAATTTCACATCTGGTCTCATAATCAATAGGAGTGTGAAAATCACGGGTGCTTTTCTTAATTTCAGCGAAATTCGATAATGTGGGTAAAGTTACAGTACTTTTATTAGAGAAATTTGGTAGCTGGGTGATTCTATCCAATATCCGATCACTGAACATTGTGATACTTTCTTTTCGAAATCGGTTTTTTGTGGAAATCATTGAACGATTTTGATGGTAACTCAAAGTAAGCGTCACTTAGTGCTTCTGGCGCTTGTGGAGTATCCGGAGGATCCTCCACAAGCGGAGAGTAGAGGGAGGCTGGGTGGTGGTCGTTGTTGGGAGCTCGGAGCCTCAATGACTTTTTGTGAAGATTGTGATGTTGTGTGATGATGTGAAATGTTCAATGATGTCTAAATGAAAACATTATATCCTATTTTAATGCACAGAAATCGCGTGAAAACTCAGCTATTGACACTTAATTCATACTTTGGGCGTAAATAACGAGATATTTTTTTTGAACAAAACGGGAGAGAAGAGATTACCTACGCGTTTACTTTTATGTCATATCAAAAGTCTTTTTTTCGTCTTTTTTAGTCGAAACTAGACGACTTTTTTAGACGAAATTCGTTTTTTTAGATTTTCATTTCTGATACTTTTGCCTTGTTTTTTTTTTGGTTCAGATATATCGTTTGCAGTTGAATTGCTGACATTTGAAATTAAAAAAGGTACCCGTGATTTGGACAGTCTTATTGATTCTATCTTATTGAGGGCAGATGTGAAATTTTCAAAGAGAAGGCAAAATATGACTCCAATTACGTTCGCGCTTCTTTGCTTCGGGCATTTTCCTCGCCTTTAGTCCTCCAATCATCCAAATACATAACTTTTGGCCTAACAAAAAAATTGATGACTTTCCAAAGTTTCCCTTCTTTGCCATCTTTTCTCAAAACCCAGATTGTGCATAAATTGAAGGCGTTTGAGGCACTTCAATTGCTGAAAGTGAATCACTATCTGCGCTCATTCGTCCTATTTTCTGGGCCAATCTCGTCCAATTTCCAACAAGTTGAAGTGCGGCTGTTCAACGCGCAAATAGATGAGGACAACGGAAGAATTGTGGCAAGTGCGATTACCATTTGTATATTACATCACAGTATCTCACAAGAAAATAACCCTTCGCTTTCTTTCTTGAGCGACGAGATCTCGCGCCGTGGAAGTGATGTGACGGTGCAAGTGACTCCCCTTCACGGGCGACTTTTTCGAAAGCTCGCACATTTCGCCGGTTTGGAAATACGCTGTTTTATTGAAAACAATACGAGTTCTACAAAATTTGATGTCCAGAAGTTTTTGCCGTTCAATAAGGCTTTGGAACACATAGCCTTCGATTTCGATTCAAGATTCAAGAGAGATTCAAGCGTCACTTGCTCGCTTCTCTCAATTTATAATGCAATCCAAGTGTGCAAAAGCGTGACAATCACTTTTCCACATGGCAATCGTGCGGTTTCTGGTGACGTTAATCGTGAATTTCTGCGATTTATGGAGCATCGCTGGGCGCTCTGTGAAGGTCTCGATTTGCTCTATCTTCCTTTTGACCTTTACAAAGAACATCTCTCGTTTATGAAAGAAAATGTGCATCTCATACTATTGCACGATAATTGGGAGAGTTTCGTGGATTGTGTGAAATTCTTCGTGAGGAGCAATCGTTTCAATGCTTATCTTCACATTGAACTCTATGAGGGTCATGGGACGAGGGGCGATCCGAGATTTGAGCAACTCACCTCTATCTTGCTTCAGGCTCACATTCCGCTGGTTAAGAAGGAAGTATTGTGGGTGGGCTGGGAGGAGATCCTTTACTTTCATCGCCCTCCACTCGCTTTTCAGTATCAAATTCACAAATTCACCACACGGCATCAATTGAAAAAAGTTTTTTTTGATCACCAAGTTGTGTAATTTCATGTTATCTTTTTTTCAGCTTTTTCCTTTTAACCTTTGCTGATTATCTTACGATTTAACATCTAGATTAGGTAGTTTATTTGCTGCTAAACGTTTGCCTCCTTAAGAGATAAATATGTTTATATGTGACGAATAAATACTGTAGAATACAATGAAATGTTGCACTATTGGTATAATATATCAAACTCTCCTTGAAGAGTGTCAACTTACACTACAGTCAAATCTTACACTATCGGTGTGATCGAGAAGAAAAACCTCCAAAAACAAATCATTTTACACTGAAAAAAATCCGACTTGCAACTTTCAGATTTGAAGCCTGAATCAACCGTTCGCTTCATTTCCTTACTCCCAATTGATTTTTTGTCACAAATCTTGCCTGAAATCTGGAAATGACAATGGTTTCTTTAGGTCTCTAACCCGGAAAAGTGATGGGTCAAATATTGGTATACTTGGCTCATACGTCTTTTAGTCTGGCTAAAACTGTTCATTCACTGACTGTGTCACTGCAGCCAGGTGACTGTTTAAAGGAACAGCTACTGTGTTTCTTTCCGTCTCAATATCCCGTATTACCGTAGTCCTAAATTCGGTACAGTTTATGGCCTGCAGAAATTTATGGCCGTGGACTCTTAACTTTAAGAAGGGATCGAGAAGGAAAATTCCTTTTTATTTTAGACCAACTTTGCCACTCCAGTGATGAGGAAGCCGGTGACATCACACGCTTCACAAGTCGTCATTGTTGTGATGAGTTACGGCAATCTTCTATGACAGTGACCTGGCTACAGAAAGTTCATTCACTCACTGCCCAGTCAGTGAATGAACAGTTGTAGCCGAACTATGAGCCAAATGTATGAGTCAAGTACGTGTCAATTCTCGAAGTGAAAAGTTGCTTTGTCGTTCAAAAAAGCAATGACGCCATATGTATTTGTAATTTCACCATTTTCACCACCACTCGAGTCCGCTCTATTTTAGCTCCAGGAAAAGTATTATGACATGATAACAAACAAAATAACAAAGATTAACGTAAAGTGGCATAAAATTAACATCAAATTCAAAAACTGATTTGACTAGTCTTGCAAGTCTGTAGGTCTTGCAAGTCTAAGAGATTATTGATCAATCTTCCAAATTGAGGATCCAATAACAAAATGTTCTCAAAGAGTTTCTCGAAACAGTTCCAATCGTTTTCCCATAGTAATAGGCGGCGGCATGGCCGCCGCCTAATAGTAACGCATAATAGCAACGAACAGGAAGATCTAAATTAGAATAAAGAATTTTAATTTATGACGAACTGAATGGGGATTATCGCTGCTTCATTGTGAAATAAGTATTTCGTTGATCGAATTATTAACTTATTAACGGAAAATAAACATACGTAGCTAGCCTCGACAGACACTTTCATGAGTTTTAATCCACCAAAAAGAAATGGAGCTGCGATAAACATTCCAAGCGCACAAATGATTGGATCGGATCGTTTTGTTTGACAGCATTTGAAGCATAGCTTTCCACTACGCAGTAACTAGAAATTATTTGAGATGTGAACATTGAAAGCAAGATGTCATACCGTTGACAAAGTTGAATCCATGGTTACTCCAACGATTTCACCAGCAATTGTGACGATTCCAAAGTAGATAGCAATACTAAAGTTATCGATCATTTGATTGAAATTGTTGTATACTAACTTCGCTTTATCATTTTCATCCAGAAGACTTGTGGAATTGAGCTTCATTTCGTGAGCTTTGGCATGTTAAATTGCTGTAGGAACCCACCTTAAAATAAAAAGAAATACGGTTAAACCATTTAGAATCTTACCATGAAACTGTGCCAGTCACAAAAACAATGCATGTATAGGCAATTGTCGAGAAAAGGTAGGTGCAACTAAAATTTACAACCTTTTTGACAAAGCGTTTTTAAATCTTACTTTCTCATGAGGGCCCACAGATCACAAAAGTACGTCTTGATTTTTACCTTCAAAGGTGCATTTCCTCTATCGTCCTTGCCTGTAGGATTCTAAAAGTAAAAAGATCAATAGAAATATCTTTAATTTACCCATGATTCATTGAGTCCTCGTTCTGGTTCAAATACAAACAATACAATCAGAATGACAGAAACCACGCCTCAAACTTTAAAAATTAAATTGAATTGGAACAATTATAGATATTATATAAACGCACCAAATAACGCTATTAACCTCATTGCCATTTGCCATCCTCCCAGTCGCCTTGCCATTTGTGATCCAAAGACGTAACCAATTCCACTGAAGCGCACAATATTTTACTTGCCTTATTCAAATGCATCAAACCTTCCAAATGGCCTGACCATATAGAACAACATCAACATCCATGAGCGCGCTTTTCCAATGTACATATCACCAATTATCGTAGGAGAAACGACCACAGATGAGGCTTTACCGATTCCGACAACACTGCGCATAAGGAAAAACAGCCAAAAGTACTAAATAAACGTTGTTATCCATCGCAAGTTAATTCAATTTACCTCTTTAGCCACAAATGTTGATGCGAACACGGCCAGAACCCATACTCGTATTCCGACAACCATAATCCATTTACGTGTGTATCTAAAAGAAACTTTCAGCTGAAGAACTCTATCCATTTTATACTTACCTAACTCCCAAGTATCCATAGATTGGAATGAACAACGTGGAAGGGACGATAAAAACCGTTTGAAGTAATCCAACCCCACTATCGTCGATTTGATAAAAACTTTGAATGTCGGTGAGAAGAACTGAAATTATACCAATTGTATTTTGTGTTAGTCTAGAAAGAAATAGAAAGAAAGAAATCCAAGTTGTACATTTTTATATCACATTTAGATCAAATTTTAATAAAGAACCAAAATCGTTTAAGCTTTTTCTATGAATGTTTACGTATAAAAAGCACCTGCCACTGTGGATTGATCAGCATATTTGAGTAGATTGACGAGGCATAGAATCAACACAACCCTCAGTTTCTGAAATTTCGAATGACGAGGCGGGGTATCCATCGATCTGAAGAAATATGCAATGAAATTTAAGAATCGAATGAAATGAAACGAATAAAGAATGAGCGAAAATAGAGAAAAGATGTCCATATGCGACTTTATATATATGCTTTATTCATGGGGCAAATAGAAGCGAATCAGATAATCATAACTGCATATAACATATTGCTACAATACTCTCATCGAAAAAAGAGAGAAAACTAAAGATAGTACAGTAAGAGTACAGTTAGGAAACACAAATACCAAACGATTAAATCTAGGGCATATTTGACATGGCAATAAGATCTAATTCGTTCACAGATACTTTGAATTTTCCTACAGACGAGAAGATACCAGACGGGAGCTTATTCCCAACCCTACTAATACGGTTCGCAAAAGAATGATAAAGGGAAAGATGATGGAGATGAGAACCGACCGAAATTTGATAAGGATGACTACGTGAACTTCTATAAATTTCTACAATTTTCAAGAGGCTTTGAAATTCTGGATGTGACTTAGGGTGGAAAAGAATTTTATAGCAAAAAATAAGATCAAAGTAAATACGGCGATATAAAAGGGGTTTTAAATCAAAAACTATAAGTCTAGTCTCATAATTTGGAATAAAAGAAGAAGGGAAACAACGAGTGTATGCTTTTTTAGTGAAACGCCGTTGGACATTTTCAACCAAGGTGATAAGTTTCTTAATGGAAGGTGCCCATACGATGGTGGCATACTCGAGCAAAGGCCGGCAATAGGTTATAAAAGTCCTGCGATAAGTCGCGATTTTAGGGAAACAAATGGCGCCAAGAATTATGTTAGAAATTCTAGAAGCTTTTTTGGTTATGTAGTTTATGTGAGGATCAAATTTTAGAGAGGGAACTAACATTATACCAAGACCTTTACAGGATCATCGGCCAATCCTTGTGGCAATTGTAGGTCCCCCAATTTTAAAGGGATATGTAATGAACCAAATGTAACGTGTTTGCATTTGTCCGGTGCAATGTTAAGTTTCCAAAATTTACTCTACAGAAGGATCGAATCAAGGTCCTTCTGGAGAAGAGTAAAATCAGGGATGGGGCTCTGGGATGGGGTTCTGGGACGTAAGTACCCTATAAATCTTAAGGTCATCGGTGTAGAGTCGGACTTTTGTGCCTAGGGAGATCGAACTGTCAATGTCATTAATATAAATAAGGAAAAGAAGAGGACCAAGAACGCTCCCTTGGGGGACTCCGCTACTAATGGGAAAGTCATTCGAAAAAGTAGAGCCTAAGCGGACGCGAAATGTCCTTTCGGTAAGCCAATTTGCAATCCAATTAGTGATGGATATGGGGAGACTTAGTGAATTTAATTTGGCGATTAAAAATCTATGATTAACAGAATCGAATGCTTTGGAAAAATCAATGAAAACGCAGCTAGTTTGATCGTTTTTTGCTTTAGCTAGAAGCCAGTCATGCGCGCAGAGAACTAGCTGGTCGGAGGTAGAGCGGTTTTTAAGAAAGCAGAATTAATATTTATCAATTAGATTATGTTCATTTAGATAATGAATAATGTGGTCGCGAATAATTATTTCTAAGACTTTACAAATGGAGGCGGTGAGCGCGATAGTTCGATAATTTGCAAGCGCGTTCCGATCCCCTTTCTTAAAAAGTGGCAAAATTGTTGAGTCTTTCCAAAATTTAGGGATCTTAGCCGTTAGAAGTGACAGATTAAAAACTTTAGCAAGTAGTGATGCTATTTGAAACTTAGTTTTCCGTATAACAAAAGAGGGAATTCCGTCTGGGGTGTAAGAAATCTTATTGCTAAGCTTACTAATTGCTGTTTCGACAAGTCTTGGTGTGACGATTAGGGCTGCGCAAGTATGTGCTGGGCGGGAAGAGCAGGGATGCAACTACCAGCGTCAATTACGAAAACGCTGGAGAAATATTGAGCAAAGGAATTAGCAATTTTGTGATTTTCGAAAATCAACGAGTTGCGAAGGGGATCAAATATACATTTAATAGAGGCATCGTGGTTTGGTTTAATCTTAGAATAGGCGTATGAGTAAAAAGCTTTGGGACTAGGACTAAAAACGGCTTTCCGTTCAATATTGGCCTCAAATTTTTTGACAAACTTAGTTAGCTTGTTTTCTGGATATGCGTAATGGGGGGATCGCGATAACGCCAAGCTGTTTCTAACCTTTGCCTAGCTCGAGATATGTGACTGGGGTGAGAAAAGGTAGACCTGGTTGAAATAGGTACATTTTCGTCCAACAGCGATTTCATCTCATCAAAGAAGTCGGCATAACACTCGCTGATGTCGATCTCCAGTCGGGGCAGAAACCTTGCATTGTAGAGCGCTAAAGAAAGACAAACAGCATCGAAATTACCTCTCCAAAAGGCACGGTTACCATCATCCGATCCTTTTAGAGAGGTAAAATGATGCAGAATTAAATTAAAGGACATAAAAAAATGGTCGGCACTAACAATGGGAAGACATGGTGAAATAGCAGAAATTAAATGAGGGGAATCGGTTGAAACTAGGTCCAAAATATGCTAACTTTTCCTGAAAGTAGGCAATTTGTTTAAAATTTCTAAGCTGTTGGCTGATGGCTGTTGGCTGTTTTCTAAATGTGGAAAACGCGATAAATTAGATAAAAGTCCTAGAGAAACAGTTAAAGGAAAATTAAAATCGCCAAGAAGGAAATTTGGGTGATTTGGTACCAAGTCATCTTGAAGAAATGTAAAAAGATGGAAAGAGCCCTGGTTGTTAACATGTGGGGGACGAAAAACAATAAAGATACGCGGGGGGGGGGGATCTGAATGAGCGATTGAATTAATTCGGTGAGGTTTCATCGATTTATTATCAATCTAATAAGATGCATTCTGAGGGTAAAATGTGATTTCAATTACAAATTGCCTTTGCTGATTCTCTTACGATTTAACATCGAGATTAGGTAGTTTATTCGCGGCGATGTTTTTGCCTTTTAGGTAAAAAAATGCGGACCTAGTCAAAATAGCGTCGCCCAAACAGCGCGGTTGAAAACAGCATCCACGAAACTCTCCCATTTATCGAGCTAATGGCTGCGCGAAATTTCAAATTTTCGTTTTTTGAGCCAATGATGAGGCGTTGTTTTGCATTTGAATATGACATATGATGCCGCAAAAATAGCGATGCCGCAAACAAATTTTCCTTAAACACAATCGGTAAAAAAAGGCCTATCAATAAAGTGTATAGTCAATAAAATGAAAATTTGTGGTTATTGGACTAGTTTATTATGCGCCACCATGCCCGTGATGCTTCGGGGAAACAACGAGGTTTGGGTAAACGACTACTTTCAATCATTAATAGTACTTCGAGAAGGCGGTCCGCAATCTGAAGCAACGTTGGAGAGATGTTATGCTAATGATGGTGTTATTGTTTGGAATAAATTGTGATCTAAAGAGATTTTGATTAGATTTAATGTTTGTTAAAAACTGCAATTTCTTTTTCATAAACCTAGTAGAACCTCCTCTCACTCTTCCCATCACTATTTCCCATCAACTATTGAAAGCCAACTATTTCCATTCACCTTTCTACACTTCTCTTCTCGTTTATTCAAAAATGCCCTCCTTGTATCTGGATCAAAAAAATTCTCGAGACTATCAGCCGCGGATTTCAGGCCGTTCCTCTCTAGTCTACCCAGACACTGCAATTCCAATTGACTTGCCCAGGTGACTTGGCCTGGTCCTAACTTGCCTCTTTGGCCTGACCTGGTTTGACTCTGGTATGCAA